CACACACACACACACACTCTTTTTATAGTGAACACACTGCATTTTGAGTTTAAAAAACCCTTCATCCACCTCCCTTTTGGGGGGAAAAAAACCGAACATTTTCACAACCATCATTAAAATGCTTATGAAAATTTTAAGAATGTTTTATAATATAAACCATGTTTAAGGACAGTTGTCCAATTATTTTAAATGCAGTTTTCATTAGGAGACACCGTTTTATGTGGTACAAAATGATTCCATTCTATAGGATGAAACAGTGATATTTTTAACATAAGTAACAAGTTGTTATACCTTACATAATAAATACATACAATGTAAACAAATATTTTGAAAATGTTTACTTACCAACTGATGAGTTTCTTATGTCACATACTATTTGGAAGATGACAGGAATATTTCACAGCATTTTTTTCCCGGTCCTTGATTATAGGTAATGAGCCTACTGATGATAAGTACTATGGCCATAAAAAAAAAAAAAAAACAAAAACAAACAAACAAAAAAAACTACGCTACCCCAAGCAGGGTTATGTACAAAGGAATCATTAGCATTAGCATCTGAGTGTAACCCACTGGTACCAGGCTTCCTAAGCACATGGTGTGGGGTGTGTGTGTGTGTGTGTGTGTGTGTGTGTGTGTGTGTGTGTGTGTGTGTGTGTGTATGTGTATGTGTATGTGAGTGTGTGTATGTGGGGGGTATATGTGTGTACAAGAACTTTACATACTAACTGCTTTTAGACTGTGCTACAGAGCTAGTAATACTTGCGTTCCTCTTTCTGGCCTGTTGTATTTGACACTCTGAACCTCAATTCATGTATTTCATCTCCATTCAAGTACACATAGCCCCATATATATGTTTTCCTAATTGTGTCTCACTTTCTCACCTTCAGCTACTTCTACAAGACTCCTTAACAATACCCCAGCCAATCCAACTGCAAACTTTCCTGCCTCTCCCATACCATCCCTTAGTCATTCTGACACCTCATCTGACCTGCTAAGTCCTCCTTCATTTCTCATTCAGGTGTGACTTTAACTTGTAACACACTTAAGAAACACTGCTCTTGCCTTTCCTTCTGCCTTGCCCTTTAGTTAAAAACTCCACACTGGGGCATCAAGAACAAGTTTACTCCAACTCCTTCCTTTTCTCCTTTCCACACACTCATCATTGTGATCAGAGTTTTAGTTCTGAAGGTTTCTATGGCTCCATGATCTCTTTCATTACCATGCCACCTCAGAATCATTCTCTGGGTTACAAAGTTCCTCCAGGGCATTAACCTCTCTTCTTCATGTCTTTTGACCCAAATAAGGGGTTTCTCCTTCCAGTCAGTACCTGCCGTTGTTTTCATCTGTCATTTTCCCATTCCTTTCTTCCTCACTCTGTCTTATCCTAAAATAATATCAGCCCTTCTTGTAGAAACCACCTGTGTTCCTCTTGAACAGGACTTTCTAGCCAGGTTCTGTCTCTAGTATGTTTCCCCTCTTCAGAAACAAAAAAGAAAACCACAAAGCCTTCATACAACAGAGAAACTTCAGTGCCATGGTCTACACAGCACACATTTGTCAGTTTGAGTTGAATTCCCATCATAATCTTCAGCCACTGTCTCCCAGTATTACTCATCCACTCTATAGACAGACTACCCAGAGATCTCTCCTGGTGCCATTTTACCACAGTTCATCCTAGCCCATCTCTTCCTGGTCCTTTGAATTAGAACTCCCACCAAAGCCTCCCTGATTTAATGCCTCATTCTTCTCCCTGACCAAGCATTACCAGTTTTTAACATCTAGCTTTCAGATCCAGCATCTAGCCTGAGACCCACATTCTTTCAGTCTTGCAGATTCCACTCTGGGAAATACCATTACCTGTTTGCTTATGCCACTCTTACTGTTAACTCTCCTTCAGATAACTCCCAGTTTACAGTTCCCAGTCTGTCTCCTCCTCCTTAATCATGATGTTCAGTATATTTTGTAGTCTAGATTTTCAGAGGGTTCCTAAAATTGCCCCTAGCTCAGAGCCACCCCATGTAAACTCTGAAACCCTCAAGTCTGTTGGTCATACTGGTTGCTTCAGATGCCGTTCAAGGAAAGACCACCAGATGCTACTCCTTCCTTCAGAGCACTGTTTCATAGCCACACTCTGCTCCATCTTTGGTGCAGTCTAGCATAACACACATTTCACTCCTACAAACCCAACTCTGTCATTTTTTAGCATTCCTCACTTTGGCCCTCTATGATGCCCTTCCCTGACCTCCCACCCAAAATGCTACTTCCTTTTTCTTTTTCAGATTCCAACTTCCGTCTCCTCTGGGTTGCTCTCACACAAGGCTCCCTAAGTTTCATGCCATGCAGAGTCAGCCAAGCTCTACAAGTGGTATCAGCAGTTGTAATGGCACACTAAGCAGTAATCCACATATGCCATCTAACTGGGCTGCCATCCTTTCCACACACTGCAGGCAGCATGGATACAGAATTACAAGCTGCCTGCCCACACCTCCATTAAGCAATCCAAGTCGTCATCAGTCACTTGCTATCAGCACTCTGGCATCTCAGTCATTACAGACTTTCCCTTCCTTAATAGTCAAATCCTCCAATTCCCCTCCAACCCTTCCTGTCCAGGTCCTTCTTTGCCATCGTGTTCACCATGGTCTCTATGCGCAGATGTAACCAGTTGGATTTACATTGAGCTCTGACAGGACTTTCCATTTGAGGTCTCTATTCTACACTTTCTCTACCAGTTGGCCCTCTGACATGTTTTCCTCCCCTTTGCTTCCAGTCCACCTTTTCATTTTCATTCCTTCCTGACTTGGGGCCCAAGAATACAGCCTTAACTTTTCATTTTATGTCAGTCATTCCTTAGTGCTGCCTCTTTTACATCTGAGGTTGACTTATATGTTGGTATTGTACACTGTTGTTCCTCTTTTGACCTAGAAAAGCCTTAATTTCCAGCAGCCCTCCTGTTGTGTGTAGCGTGCCTGTGGCCCCAGCACCGTCTGCTCAGGGCACTTCCATCCCTGTGGCCCAGCACCGCCTGCTCAGGGCACTTCCATCCCCATCACTCACTTTTTCTTTACATTCGCCGCCTAATGCTTTCACCCACCTCATTCTGCTTTCAGCTCAGTCTAACCCTGTGTGAATCCTTTGGGTGGCCTATTGCAGATCCACTATTTTAGCCTCTCACTTCTGCTCTCTGCACACCCTGTCCTTCAGCTATTTAGGAATCTCTTCAGATCTGTATCTCTTCTTTATTTTGCCACAGGCTTCCTCTCAGGGATTAACTTCGACTTTCTACCCTGACATGTGCTTACTACACCCCTGTCCTCAGCCCAGCAGCACAGCCCTCTCCGTTTAGCTTTCAACACTGATCCCCAGTTCTGTACTCGTCTCACACTTTCTGCCTTAGCAGTTGACTCTGGTTTTTATTTAGCAAGTCCTTACAAAATAGGCTCCATTTTTTAACCCTCTTTGACAGAGGTCTTCGGGTTTTGTTTTCTTTGTTCCTTTGCTTTTGCCTTTCCTGTCTGATGAAGCTGTAACCATTATGATGGTAAAGTTGTGCTCTTGCCCTGGAAGGGCCCCTCTGGCCTTCTGTCTTGTCTCCCAATATCTGTCTCTGCTCTGGCTTTACTACCGTTGGCTTTTAATGCAACTCCTGGCAGGCTCCCTGCAAGTCCTCATTGTATCAGCCAAATCATTTAGTTAAAAAATGTGCCACAAAGGTTTAATTCACTCATTCTTCCTCAACCCATTCCTACATGTCACATCCTCAGAACTTTTAAATGCCTTCTGTCTTGTCTTCTACATAAAATCCAACCAGTCTGCCCCAATCTGTGATCTAGTCTACCATTCATTTGGTCTCTAATTTATCCCTAGGCTCTTAATCCTGCAACTTCAGATAGCACTCTATTAAGATTTATACTAAAGGATCTATGGCATTGAATTATAGTATCATGGGTAGATTAATTATATATATATATATATATATATATATATATATATATAATTATAGTCACACAAATTTAACTCCTAGAAAGTCAGCTTTGGAGACAAAGGTCATGTCTATCCACATTGCCTTATACCTTTACTTAAATGTCATGGACTGGAAGGAAGGAAGGATGGATGGATGGATGGATGGATGGATGGATGGATGGATGGATGGATGGATGGATGGAGACTCTTAATGTCCATACTATGATGTTTACAATTGAGTATTTCTTCTCTTGCTCAGACCCCCAAATAGCTTTCTAATGCTTCAATTTCTAGTTATTTTGTACACATAGGCCTTTTCCAGATCCCTGATTAGATCATAGGCCCCTTTCCTTCATCCATGCTGGCTAAATTCTTTCCTTCAAACTGATTGGAAAACTCTGTCTTTATCAAAACTTCACTCTCTAAAATTGTGTCAGGTTTTTTTTATTATTATTATTACTCATTTCTTATGTAATTCTTAGTCATCTGAAACATACAGTGCCTACCGGCTTTCCTGTTTTGAAACAGACTTTACCAGTAGTAAAACCTCACTTTCATGTACTCACTGTTGGTTGAAAGTTGACTTAAGAGTAGTTTATTCTGGTGTTCTGTAGAATCACTTAAGTCCACAATCTAAAGACAGCATTGAGACCCTGTACTTGGTCAGTGTTAATCTGATGATCTGTGTGCTTTGCTGTGTTTGCAAAATATTGTCCCTTTTGACCAGCATGACAAAAAGTCCCTCCAAAATATGTCCCCCTGCCTTCTTCACATCAACACAGACACAATGTGCTCAGGTCATCTCTTCTGTATATTCTTCTAGTCTACAGCACAGAAATATGTCCAAATCATACTTTGTGAACTGACTAATTGACCAGCTTGCAAGCTGCTTCAAGAACTCTACTACCTTAGAACAGGGTATGCATCTGTTAACACTGAAATGTGGAACACAATGCTGAGCACAGATGGTACTTCCTCAATGATGATGGAAATGTGCTTTTCCTATCCACTCACGTGGATTTGCCTGCTCTTCCCACCAGTTGCAAGCACCTTTAGCTGTACCATGAAGTTTACAGTCCGGGACTGCGACCCTCACACTGGAGTCCCAGATGACGATGGGTATGACGATGAATATGTGGTGAGTCTCCCCTGCAGATACTCTGCACCTTTGCAACATTCAAAGACTCTGTCACAAGACCATTTTCTAGAAACAGCTGACAAAACTCATGGGACCTAGACTGACCCTATTTGTAATGGAATCGTATCATGCCAGAGAGAATTTAAATGGAGCTCTTTATAACTAAAGCAAGGAAATTCACCTTATTCTCTTTTAGTGGGAATAACTAAGGTAATTGCATTATTTTTAATGTTATTGAATTTATTTATAAAGTAGGTTTTTATTTTATGTCAGCAACTTTATCTTTGGTTGGTTGTAATATCAGCAAGTCATAGACTGAAAAACTTTGACAAAAAGGACAGGTGGAGTGGCCTCAACTAGGGGACAAAATGTGGCAATATGACTGCTGTGCGTCAAAGGGCTACTGGCACTCACCCTATACTTACTTGGCTCTTGCCAGATTTTTCTTGCCCCTCTGTACTAGAACCTATAGCATCTGGCTTAGCCAGACCACATTAGTGAGGAAGAACTTTCTTCAGGCCCTTTGCATGGTTTGTAGACATGATGATCAGTTCCTTCTATTTTTGTTGTAGACTTAAAGGATTTTTATTTACTGACCCCTGCTTATTGCCCACTAGCTGGAAGATCTTGAAGTGACTGTGTCTGACCATATTCAGAAGGTACTAAAGCCTAACTTTGCTGCCGCCTGGGAAGAAGTGGGAGATGCATTTGAGAAAGAAGAAACCTTTGCTCTTAGTTCTACAAAAACCCTTGAAGGTGAGAAGAGTTTTGCTGCCAGTGAGCTGCCTGCGGCCAGGATAAAACCCAGGAGGCATACATGCAGTTCCAAAGAACTTTCTATTGAGTATGTCTTAAGTAATCTACTCAAAACCAGGTACCTGTCTTCATCATCTGACCAAATCAGCCATTTTCCAGACTAGTAGCCTCCCTCCACATTGTCTACACCTCTGTGCACCTGCAGCTCCTAGGACATGCTGGGGCAGAGGCAGACCCTGGTGTTTAACTTTCCTAATACTGCTACATCAACTTTCTCAACAGAGGCTGTCAACAACATCATCACATTTCTGGGCATGCAGCCATGTGAGAGATCAGACAAAGTACCTGAGAATAAGAATTCCCATTCCCTTTATCTGGCAGGTAAGAGATTCCCATCAGCTCTCTCCTAAGATGTATAGAATTTAAAAGGAAGGGATGTGAATAGCCACTCCATGCCCTGCTGCTGTCTGTCATCTCATTATGTAACAATTTGAGACCTAATCAAAATGATTCATTAATTTTACAGGTTCTCCTTAAGTTATTCTTTTAGGAGGCCCATCCGACTAAAATACCTCAGTCTCTAACAAATGCCAGCATCAATCCTTGAGTACACTGTCAGTGATACCCACTACCTTCCATGTACCTGGTTTTCATGTGAACATTTAAAAATTAGGGTTGTTTGTAGGACTCATTTCCTGTCCATTTCTACAAAGGTGAAACTAAAATAATAGAAAGGAGGTACAGGCAAAGCATGAGAAATCCATTAGTTAGAGCTTATTGAAGTTCTTAACACTGCTTTCCTAACTTCTGTCTCTCAGGCATGTACAGAGGTGGCTATGACTTGCTGGTGCGATCAAGGCTGGCCTTAGCAGATGGAGTGACCATGCAGGTGACTGTGAGAAGCAAAGAGAAAACACCTGTGGATGTTATCTTGGCTTCTGTAGGATAAGTTCTTGCTGGGAAAGGTGATGTGGCTATGCTCACCCTATTCGTGGTTTTTAGGCCAATGGCATGAATTTTCCAGAATCACACTTGTCCAATGTTTGGCCCTGAGCCAGCAGATCAAGCAAATGTTTATCTTTTGTGCATGGACTTCAGTGTGTTTCTTCCCTTCTCATTGTCTCACTTGCTCAGCTTTGCTATGACAATGCAGCTTTGAGTGATCTTGAAAACCAGAATCTATGTATGCTATTCTACAGCTGCTTGGCTTCATTATATGCTTTTATTTCATGTATGAAAACTCTAGGCAATGTTGGAAAATCTTATCCCAGAAGGGTGGAGGGGGAGGGGAAGCCGGAATCCATTTTTGTCACAGTTTGTTTTTATTAATAGAAAATAAACACTCATTCATTCCAGTTTCAAAGTTGCTATACTTGAAATTCCTAATTTTTAAAAAATGAATTTAAAATAATCAATAATGCTGCTTTAACTAAGACAGTTAAAACTGTGGCTTAAAAAGTATTCAGCACCATTTGCTCTTAGGTCTTTCAACATTTGTTCTTAAGCATTTGTTCTTAAGCATTTGTTCTTAAGCATCTGCCTGTCTGTCAGTACAGGAGTTGCTGAGTTACATGAGAAAGCCTTTTTGAACAGCCAGTGGGATAGATGCTAAGCAGCCATCCTAAGAGGAGTCAGTGGACATCTGGCTGTTATAGTGGCCCCTCCTCTCCCCTTCAGCTCTGGAGGAACATACACCTAAGCACTGATGCGAGGAGGCAGGCTGTTATTTACTGTTCAGCTTGGACTTTTTAGCCAGGAACAGTAAATCTCTGGCACAGATGCAACTGGTTAATACTTTGTGGTTTAGGAAATTCTGTAAATAATTTGAATCTGTTTATTCACAAATTATATGTGTGATGGCAGTCTCTACTCTAGCAAGTAAGGGCCAACTGTTTTAATACCCTTATAAAATACATACACAGGTATGCAAATCAGCTGTAAAAGCATATTCAGAATGCTGTATCATTTATGCCAATGATGACTATCTTGGTTTGATGCGTCTTTGCGTGGGGAAAGCAGTGCTGGGGGCTGAACCCAAGGGCATTAGCTTGGTAGGCAGGTGCTCTACCATGAGCTACATTCCCAGCCCCTAAGCCAATGGTCTACTTCAACAAAATGTCTGTAATTAGAAGCAGCTGATGAAATAAATGTAAGGTGTGACATGATACCCTTCTCATAAGCCGTGCTGTACAGAGAGCAAGCTTGTAGGGAACATCAGCAAGCTCCTTCCTCACTCTTTACTACAGGGTTCTCATTAGGGTTGGGCCAGAAGTTAGCATTTCTAAATATTTCAGCAAAGTCTACAAAATCGAGGGTGGGTTTGTTTGTTTTGTTGTTTTTAGTGTTTAAGAATGTCCAATGCTGCCTTTCTGGTGTAATTGAGAAGTGTTATTCATCAGAATGTTCTAATAACACAATACAGTAGCAGATCTATATACTTGATCAGATGTCACAGCAATGAGGGGAGGATTATCATGTCACCCTTAGAGAATGAGAGATGGATGGATCATCATGTCATCCTTAGCGTTTCTACTGCCTATTTCCTATAGTTTGTTCACCAATGTGAATAAAATGGATTTTTATGAAAGAATAGTACTTGATTGCCAGGACCTCTTTTGGGCATTTCTAAGTGGAATACACACAGATACGAGAATGGGGGAGGTAATTAATACAGGGAAGCTACTACTCTTTCCAGCTCAGAAGGAGTTGATGAAGCCCATGTATGCATTCAAGAAGCCCATGGGATCCTCTAGCTGTGGGTAGTGGCTAATGTGGTCATCCAGAATCGACACTGTGGACCGCGGCAGCGTTTTCCTAGTGGAAGAGAATAGCATGGAGGTGAACTTAAGGCTGGAGGATGAGAGGATATAAGCCATGGGAAGCCCCATAAATGCCCCTGTAGACATACCACATTGGAAGAAGCCAACAAAGAGCTTATTAATCTCCTACTTGGGAACTATACCTTAGCCAGATAAACTTGCCAGTTCCACTTAGACTGGTTTCAATTGTTCAGAACACAACAGACAACATCTTGCAAATACAACACGTCTGTAACAGTCCTCAAAACATGACTTTCAGCTCCTTAGAGAAGCATCAACAGGTGGCTCACTCAGCAACTCACTGCCCAAGCAAAGATAAACAAAGAACCTTCCTTAATCTCATGAGGAGGTTGTTTAAAATTTTAACCAAGCTGTTGATTGCCAGATTGTATCTACTGGGGCACATGAAGGTATGGAACACTCTTACATGGTAGTCAAGACTTCATATTCCAGCACCTTCTGAATAAGTACCCTGAGGGAGCAACAACCAATGAGAAAGCATTTTTCATAGTTAGCTGTTCATAACTGCTCAATAAAGTCTGCTCAGTTGAGGTCAGTGAACTGGCTTTACAGTCAGACTAACACATTTCTTACGACGTTTGGTTCACGTGAAGTTTTTCCCCTTTCCTTTCTACCAAGGAATATGATAACCATAGAGCACAGTGAGAACAGGATGTACGAATCCAGAGAGTCTGTAACCACATCTCTTGGATCTTTCCACTTTGAGAATAAGAGTTCTGATCCCTAACTGGTCTAGCTATTGTATGTTTCCAGTGAGGTCAGAGGCAATAGCTAGTGCCAACAACGCTGTCAGGATGAAATACTAAGAGAAGGAAGGCCTCTGAGGAGGACTCACCTGTACAGCTCCAGAAACTCTGGGTAGGGGTTTATAGGATCCAATGGCCCATAGATAAAGTGAACTAGGAAAGAGAAGAGGAAGGAATTTCTAATAGCTCACAGCTATGCTTCCTGTTGCTACCCTAAAATTAACCTCCCTCCCTTTATTTAAAAAAGAAATTCTGTGAATAAAAATTTTTATGAAAGAAAACATTCTTATTAGGTGAGCTATAAAGACCATCTAGAACAAGCCAGTCAGGCTTCTACATAGACCTGTGTGGTCCCTTCGTGCTCTTCTGTACCCTGAATCCAAAGGAGTAAGCTCACTTTGAAGACCTGCCTTCTACAAATGTAGGTAGAATCATCATTCTTTGAAGTTCCCTCTGTTGGGACTGACCTCTGACATCTTGATCACTAGCATGTGAGGCACGAGGACAGAGCACTGACTTGTGACCTTTGTTAATGACCTTGCTAGCTTTCTGTCCCAAGAGTTCCATATTTACAATGGCAGGCAAGCCATACTAGCTCCATCTGTACTGGAGCCCATGAGTGGTAATTATGTTAAGTCACTATTTATTTCCCAAGGGTCCCTGTCAAGAAGTGACAGAAAACTACACAGATACTCACTGGGGATGCTCACAGAAGTAAGTGCTCCCACCCAGCGTCTTCTGAATTTCTTTCGTTGATTGATGTACTGTAAAAGACTACAGCACAAGTGAGTCAGCAGGAGCAGAGCAAGAACTATTTCTTATCAGTGCAATTTCAAGTCCACAGAGCCACAGAAAAGCATCTTCATGTAGAAGCCTCAGGTCCCAGGAATGGCCTATTTCATCCCTTTATGTTAACTAGTGTGTGGACACAACACTGACTATCAACATAAGCACTAATGGTTCTTTGCATTTATTAAGCAGGGAATGAGATCTTTAGAAGATTACAGTTGGCTTGGAGTGTATATGACTTAAAACCTGGGTCTAAGAATCCAGTTTTGACTCTACTACTACTCACCAGTTCTGTGAGTTCTTTCTGTGAAACTAAGATCAAACTACAGAATCTCTGAGTTGATAGCCACCTCTAAAAATGCAAGTGTAGAAGTTTATGGGATCAGGGCTTTATCACTGTACTTCAAATGACCATGGAGTGGAGAACTCTTCCTGTAATGGAAGATGCCAACAACCACACTGCAGCCCGTGCGGCATTCTGACTGCTCTCCCTAACTCCAGGGCAGTTAGTAAGGCAAACTATGAGAATAATTTTTTTAAAAGAAAGGCATGTTTGTTTTTCCATTTGATATCTGTGGGTTAGACTAGGGAAGGAGGAATGCCTCTCATACAGAGTTCACAGCAAAGCCAGCAGTTAGAACACTGGGAGTCACAGACCTAGCTGGCGAAAGGTAAGGCCTCATCTCAAGGAAGGATGCATATATTCAATCTCCCTCTCCAAGGGAACAGCTACAGCCTCACCTAAGCCAGAGCTTTGCTCCTCAAGCTCTGTTGCTGTTGGAGAAACAGACAAAGGAAGAGCTGTGTATTTAAGAGAGACGTTAGGCTCCTTTCAAAGCTAGGACTGCAACATTGTGAAACATTTTAATATTAACCAAAAGTCTAAAGAAGGATATTATGCCAAAGTCACTGAGTCTTTCCATGTAAATGAGCACTAAGATTTGCAACTATTTATCTATACTTTGTGCCCAAATGCTTTAGGAGTAAGGCTCACCCTGTGCTTGATTTCTTTGTTGGGAAACAGACCTGGACTGTTTCAAGTTTGTCTCATCATCCCTAGGCAGCCTTCTTGTGACAGGGAGTAAGCCAGCAAGGAGCAGGACATGATCCTACACCTGCCCTGCACTCCAAGAGCTGCATTGGGGCCCAGAGCAAGGCTCCTGTCTTACCTGTCGATGACCAAGTTCCCGTCGTTGTTGCGGATCCCAGCCCACATGTCCCACAGCTCACTCTCACTGGGTCGAGTATACGGGCCGAAGACTGGAGTAAGACTGCAAGAGTACAAATGCAGAGGGTAAGACAGTGTGGGCGGAGTCGGAGCACCACACAGAACTGGGGTCTCAGAAGGCCATGCTGTCTGACACTTTGTAGATTCAGAAATTCTTTCTAGAAAATCTCCACGCCCAGGCTTGCCTTGGTCCAAGGCTATAAAGCAGCAAGTTTCACTACACTGTTCTCAGCTCATAGACTTCGATGATGACTTACCCTCGAGAGAACACAAAGAAGTTCATGAGCCTTGTAAGGATCGGTGAAAGCACACCTCCATCTTTGAGGAGCTGCAGATAAGAAGTGAAAGGAAAAATCAAGGATCCAGAAAAGGCTGACAACAGATAAAAATGGAACTTAGACAATAGCTTCTTCTTTTAAAAAAAAAAAAAAAAAAGTATAATCCCTAAATGTAACTGAAATTAAGTTTAGCCTAGGATCTCAACTTATTCAAATATCATACTTAGGGCACAGATCTTCATATAGTTGTGTTTCTCTAAATATTCATCTCTTATTTCTCATAAGTATTTGGTTTTATATAGGAGAGCCTGCTTTATTTGACTAAGGAGGGAAAAATTCATTTGATTAAAGAAGATTTCAGGGTCATCACTGCAGGTATGGCCCTTAAAAGGTCCCAGGTTTGTTTGATTTTAATGTCACAGACATCTGAACTGAGGAGCTATGCAATGAAGCTGCCAACCTTTTGGAGGAGGAGAGGCCGGTGGGTTTCAGGAAAGATACCTGTGGAAAGAGAGATTTCTTAGTCACTTACCGACAACTCTAAGTTAACAGCGCAACTGTTACCAGAAACTAATTACCTGTCAGCCCTATGTACTGCATGACACCACATATATGTGTATCAGGCTGAGGCATGACTCTACTGCTGATTTCTAAAGATTCTGTTAACAGTCAAATTATAGCACACTGGAACTACTTTCCTCGTTTCAAAGGGACAAAATGCATAAAGTAATTCATGTGCTCTTCCATAATGCATTGATGCTGGGGCCTAAACTCCCTTCAGCATCTCCAATGCTCGGAATACACAGTGGTGTTAATGAACTAGACTGCAAACACATACACATGTATGTCTGTTTTTCAGTCAGTAGGTTCTAGTAAAAGAAAATGGCTTCTTTTCTTTTGCACTGATTAAAAGGACAGACCCACTATTCTTCCAAGCCACCATTAAGACATTCAAAGTGGGGGCATTTGGGCATTTCTGGATTAATGAACTCCTCAATAACAGACAGAAAAATAAATTCCAATTAACACATTCCCAGATGACACCTGGCACTACCACCAAAGAAGAGTTTACTAATGCAGCTTATCAGCCAGATCAACGAAATCACATTTGTAGTAGACCTTTTTTGTTTGTTTTGTTTTTGTTTTGGGGGCAAGGTTTCTCTGTGTAGCCCTAGCTGTCCTGTAACTCATTACATAGATCAGGCTGGCCTTGAACTCAAGAGATCCTCCGCCTCTGCCACCCAAGTGCTGGGATTGAAGACATGTGGCTTCCTTTTATTTTCCGTATGTTTGAAGACATATTCCATAAATGCCATCAACTATCAAAACTATTCATGGCACAACTAAGGTAAGAGATGCCCTATGTCTTGTAGGGGGAAATGCTGGCCACGCCCACTTGGGGGCTGGCACAGGTGATGCTGTCCACACCCACTTGAGAGCTGGCACAGGTGACACTGACCACGCACACTTGGGCATGGTCAAAGTGACTTAGCAAAGCTTTAAATATCAGGGGCCCATGCATGCGGCTCTCTTTTCCCTCTCCCGCCTGGCTGAACAGGACTGGCTCCGTCACATGAGTACTTCCTAATAAACCATCTGTTTTCAAACTAGTTCTGACTCCTTGCTATCCACTTTAATGTCTAGTATCTGTTTATAATGTCAGATTACCATTTAGATGTCTTTATGACTTAAAAAGGAGGCTTCTTAGGCTACACCCCACTTTCTACCTACCACCAAGGCAATTACCTCCATTTGACAGACAGAGACTCTTTATGGTAAGCCGTCCAGATCGATTCTGCTTGTACCTGTACAGGGAAAGAAGGAACACACATGTACCTGAACGACTGGCATCCATGCAGGGGACTGTGGACAACCTCCAAAGGTTTGAAGATCCCCAAACAATTCAGTTTACTGTCATCTTAAGCTCCTGACCCCTGTGTTGAGGACAGATGTCTGGTCTCACTGACCTGTACAACAGCTCCTGAGCAACAATATCTCCATAGTCGTGAGACAACAGGTTGATTCTGCGGTTCTGTAGTCCCAGGTGCCGCAGAAGAGACTCTACGATGCTGGCCTGCTCAAATATGGAATACTGATGTGGTCGCTAAAGAAAGAAAAGCCAGAGACACAGCATGAGGTCACCAGAGCCTGATCTGCATTCATACCCATCCCGCCTGTCACTGGGGCCCACCAAGCTACTGCTTACCGGTTTGTCACTGAAGCCAAAGCCTAAGAAATCAAGGGCAATCACTCGCTGAAACCTCAGGGTCAGACCTTCCCAGATCTGTAAGAAAGCAAGAATGATGTACAGTCTGCCCACATACACCACTGTCCTGCCCACAGCAACACACACACACACACACACACACACACACACACACACACACACACACACACACACACACACACACACACACGCAAACACAAGATTCATGCCTGTATGTCAGCTTGGATAAAGTGAAAAATCTCATGAAACCATCACAGGCCTGGGTGATCCCCTGGGAAAGGGTGTAAGGTCTAGCTTTTAGTATATTGAGAGCATAACGCCAGCCTTTAACTTGGCAATGGTCCTTTCTGAATGACCAATTTTTTTTACTCCCTTATAGCACATGAAAAGCAAGTTTACACTTAATGAGATTTTATCAAGCAGTTCAAATATGCAAGAGTCTTCTAGGGCTGACCAAAAAAAAAAACCCATAAAATTCTAGAGTTTGAGTATTTCTTAGGACATAGCCAGACCTAGTAACCAAACTTCATTACCTTGTACCAATCGTAGCTGGATGTCGGAAAGCCATGTAAAAGCACAACTATCTCGGGGCTTCCAACCACGCCCAGGGAGTCTAGAAGGAGAAGGAGGAGAAATCAGGCAAATTCCCTGCCAAGTAGCAACCAAGACACCAAAATCTAATTCAGTAAAAAGGATCAGACCAAATTAATGACATTAAAGTGCTACTCTTTAAAATGCAAGTATACAATACTTTAGATGAGGGACTTTCTCTTAACCTGTACTTTAAATTGTAAATGGCACACTTTACATGAAAATTCTCAAAACAGTTTGCTTATTATCATTTAAATGTTTTTAGAGAGATAATCCCATATTTTAGTTATTAATATTAAAATGTAAATTATTTTTCATTTAGTAAAAAGTAAACCAGTTAATAAAAAATAAAACCAATTAAAATGTTATAATCACAACAAACTAAAAGATTTTTTATACCTTATCACTACTTTATCACATTTCTCTATGATCTGACATTTCTTACCACTGGGAGCAACTGAGTTTATGATACTTGTCCAGTACTAGTAGATGATAACAAACTTACAAAATTGTATCAGTTACAAAAAAACAGGCTATTAGTGGCACAAACTTTTTTCTATATGTGATATCAAATTATTCAAACAATAGAATACCTTGCCACAGTACTGGATTTTAAATTAATACTGCCAGTGGTGTAAAATTTTGGTAATACGTTTTCAAAAAACATTTAATTAGAAGCAGTTAAAAATAGCATGTACTGAAGAATCTACACAAATAATATGTAACACTAAATACTCATTCTGGGAAAGCGCCAACAAGCCAACATTAAGAAAATCTCATACTTACTTGACTGTGTATAGCAAATGAGAGGAGGTCAGGAGCAATAATGAAAAACGGTTTACGAAAAACAAACATTTTTCGTTATTGCTCTTGACCCCCGCCCAAAAGAAATCTTTTCCAATCTGTTTCTCAGTTTCTTCACCTAGAAAATGAGATTAATGGCACCTATCTCCAAGTGCTGTTGTAAAAAATTAAGTGAAAAATGAAGATAATGAAGGTAAAACTTTAACAATGCCTTGAATATCATTAAGTAACAGCCATATTAATTCCCAGTAAATCTTCTCAGGGTTAGATACATATAACAAATCATGAAAAATGGTAAAATGACATAAGGGAACGGGTGGGGTGGGGGGAACAAAGGTATATATAGGTCTCCAAATATCATACATGTTACCTAGCACTAGGGGCGCTCTAGAGAAAACTAACGTCAAATACAAATGGGGCTGGAAGAAACTTCCTACACACGCACAATTCCACCCCCACCCTCACCCCTGGCCCCTCCCTGAGCCCCACCCCACCCCTTGCTCTATTGCTGAGTCCCCTGCACTCAGAAAACTGAAGGGAAAATTGGTCCATTATTTCAGGTACACCTTACACAATCAGGATTACTCCCAGAGACCAAGGGACACAAAGTAAGTGCCTCAGCTGGTACCTACGTGACCTTAGGGTTCTCCAATAGTGCAGTTCTCACCTTGGTAGAAGATGCGCAGTCCCTTGTAGGTGAAGAACTTGCCGGAAGTCTTCCATGCGTGCAGAGCAGGGGAGAGCTGAGGGGGCGGGATGTGCAGGTAGGCAGCCAGCAAGGGCACAGCCAGGAGCCCCACTTGGACCCACCACTCCCTCATCCTGTGGGGAAAGCAGGCAAGGTAACATTGTACACGTCCAAAAATCAAAACGGAACATGGGTGGGAAACTTTGGCTCTATGAGGTAAATACGGCCATGGCAGAAAAGTTTACCAAGAAAATATGACGTCTCTACCCTTGGGCAGTCACCGGACTTGCTCACCACCATTCTGTCCGTGTGTGATCTTCAAGCATATATGTGACATATTACATGTCCTTAAGCAGAGAGCTGCTCCTGGTTTTTTTAATACATACTCTCTGGCCAAGTGAAGCCCTATTTGGCACTACTGTCTGGATTTGGGCCAAGAAACTGGCAAGGAGAGGCCGAAAGCAAGACGGCCACGGCGCTTCACATCCCAGTAAGCAGCTTTGCCCTGACCCTGAATACCTAATCTCTTAGAAGTCTAGGCAGCAGATTATATTTTTGCTTTCTTAGCAGACTCTTGAGGTGGTTCCCCCCCTTTTTTTTTAAATTAAGACCCCGCCCACACACCTAGCATTTAGGACTTGGTTTTGACTGTGGGAAAAAAAGCACGCATTTGTGCCCCCAGCTTGCCAGGCCAGGATTTATACGGTCTAGATCAATTTATCTACACTGGAGGCAAGAATTAAAGCAGCATTGGAAACCACTTCCTCTGTCTATTTGTGACTTGCCATGGTCACCAAGGAAAGGGTTCTCTAAACAAAATGGGATAATGCCTCCTAAACTAAAACCAGCGGTGTCACGAAGATAGCTACAAGTAAAACAAATTAATTGCTGGAGTCCTGGTGGGACGTGGGCTGGTTGGCTCAACGTAAGAACGCCCTATGGCGCCTTAACCTGCAATCTCGAGAAATTGGCTGGGGGAGGGAGGCTAAATAACAATAAACCTAACATAGTGGGTGGCAAAAAAAAAAAAAAAAAAAAGACACCTCTCGGGAAACCTCAACTCCCTGCCTGAACTTTAGACTGCGCTTGGAGTCTTTTTTTTTTTTTTTTTTTTCCCTTCTGTTTAACCCTCCAAAGTCTCTGTGCAATGAACAGTCACAATGGCTTGGTTCTACCTTTCAAGGCAATACTAGAAATGACTGGAAAAGTGCCAAGACAGGATGGTTTTATCGCAGTCTGTGATCCGCTAACGGGCTTTACCGCCAAACCTCCTTGAAAGGCAAATAACAAAAGCGTTAGGTTTAGGTTTTTTTTTTAAATATATCATTATTATTATTCATTTTTGATTGTTTGGTTGTTTTCCTCAGAGCCCATTCAGTCTCGTTACCTGTTCATACATTTTCACGCAGCCTCTGGGGCATCCATAGCAGGTCTCAGACTGAATCTGCAGTGACTCAGCAGAACACCGGGAGGGGCGCCTACAGCAGAGCGAACAGGGGCTTCCCGCTCGCCTGCCCGCCCGCCCGCTGGGGAACAGAGGTGCCACACCCACGCTCTCCACAGTACGTGGTGCACCTCCTCCACCCAGGAAAGGGGGGGCAACCCCCCAGGGAGCCGTTTTCAGTCTTAGTTACCTTAGAAAAAATACCCCCCCGCAACATTTTACGATTTTTAGTAGTCAAGCAGTCTGGCAATCAGGCGAAAGGTTTAAACAAATATTTTTTAAGTCAAATTCCCATTATTTGATGGCGCCATGGTTTAGATTAAAAATTCATCACACCCCCATAACAAACTTTATGTGCCTTGATTTCTTATTTCTGTAAATGATGGAAAAACACATTTATCTAATACCACCCGACCACTTCTCGGCGAGAAGAACTGCGTAGTGAACCCCAAAGACCGAAGCAAACGTTTTTCATAACATTTTCACAGTCTGGTGATGTCCCCGGGATCCCGAGGGTTCCCATTTCTGGCTTCGGAACCACACTTACTGCCTCATTTCTGGCTTCGGAACCACACTTACTGCTGCGGTCACACGCCGCGCACGGCCAAGGTCCGGTCACACCTATGCGGTAACCACGACAGCGCGATGCCAGATCCTGGACATCTTAAACTGCGCCACGGCAATCTTGGCTCCTCGACTCCTAAATCACACCCCGGGGTCTAAAAACCCCCAGTCACGCCACAACAACGACCAGCTCTACAAATCTTAAGACGCACCGGGGCGTTACCGAGGTTCGCCCATCTTCAATTGCGCCCCCCCCCCCACCCCCACCGCCTCTAAATCACGCCACAGCAAAGACCCTGACGAAAAGCCCTATTTTGCACCAGGGTTATTAATCCCGAGACCTTAACACGCCTAATTCTCACGCAGCGGACCCCGGGTTTGTAAAAAAATCACCAGCCAGGGCGATCCCGAGTTCGGGCCGAGCGACCACCTTTCATTTCAGCCCGGGCAGCACGGCCACCTTTTGGGGAGGGTTTTGCGGTCCCGGGCAGCTCCGGGGTGGGGGTGGCAGCGGCACCCACACCG